AACTCGGAGTCATTTATAAATTTAGGGACCCTAGGTGAATGTTCACGGCATTATCTGGGATCAGTGTGTGAATCATGAATGGATCACAGAGACCAGGTGGCTAAACATGCCAAGGGACCAACCAACAATGTCAAGGTCTGTAGAATTCACACATAATTTTAAACATGAATTTACTGATATCTCCTCAGCTTCCTGATATTAATAAATACATAAAAATTACCATTGACTATTAGTGAGGCCGATGTCTTCTGGTCCTCACATATGCAGGCGTACTGGTCAGCGTCGGTCAGTTCGAGATAATTTATCCGGAGTTCTACTCTATCTCCTTTCTGTCTCATGTCGTATTTGTCGCTGGGTCTCAGCAGAGTCTCGCCCTTCTTCCATTGCACTGAGGCGGACTTCTTGGTCACCTCACAGTGCAAGACGCCCGTTCCTCCTTCTGTAGCTTCAGCGTTGGTCAACTGCATACTAAAACGGGCTGGCAACTCTAAGAAGAATAAAACATAAGATTATATCGACTTTGTTATTTGCACAAAAATAATATAAAAAGGTCACAAATAATGTGTAAAGCTAAAGTCCATTTTTATATTTATTTTTTGGGGTTAATATTACTTCTATTCATTATGCAGTGGGACATATTAAACTGACTTTCCTATACTCCTCCAGGTACTCCAGTTTCCTCCCACACTCCAAAGACATGTTGCAAGGTAAATTGGCCCTTGTATGTATGAATGTGCGATAGGCACCTTAGATTGTAAGCTCCATGAGGGCAGGGACTTATGTGAATGTGCAACTGTGTAAAGTACTGCGTAAATTGTCGGCGCTCTATAAATACCAATAATAATAGTAATATACTGTAGATTGTAGATTCCTTAAAGTTTAACTATGGGCGCCATCATTTAAATACCTCTGCTGGGGGGTTGTATTTGGTTCCCTTTTCCATGTGTCAAATCAGTGTTTCCTCTAACAGTATACAGTTGGGCTTTTAGTTCAACCAGATAGTACTTCCCCCTCCAAGGACACCAGCAGTGCAGATATGAGACACACCAGGGCAGGTGCCCTGTCTCCACCGCTGTCTATGCTTGCCTATTTACTAAATGAAGCCTGTGATGATGTTTTGTGAAAGGCAACTTACTTTGGGTGCAGAACCAACACCAGCTCAGTTTTTAAGCTGTAAGAATAAAGGAAACAGTGAACTGACATGTGACAGAAGTAACCACTGATTCTTCTAAAGCAGTGGTTCTCAACCTGTGGGTCACGACCCAAAAGTGGGTCGCGACCCACAGTTGAGGGGGTCCCCACGTGCTTTGTGCTGCTCTAGGTAAGAGGCTCCTCAGCATCCTCCTAGCGCAACAGTGTCAGTTCTCCTAGATGGCACGGCAGCAGCAGCGGCCGGAGAGGATCAGAGAGAGGGGAGCAGGCAGGAGTGAGGGGCGGTAAGTGCTTGATCACCACAGTGCTCGCAATTGGGCACCACAGAGGCCGCACTGGACGCCACCAGAGAGTTCCACTAGCCATCTGAGAGCCCGCATAGCCTCCTGAGAGCCCACACAGATACTAGTATTGGTGCATCCCTAAATTTTACAGTTGGGGGTCACCACAACTTGGCAAATGTTACCAAGGGGTCCCGGGCCTGGAAAGGTTGAGAACCACTGTTCTAAAGGTATTTCAAGGATGGTGGCCAGAGTTCATCTTAACAGTTTGAAAGTTACCAAACATGTTTCTAAATAGACCACCCACCATCGCATTATTCTCTAAAGTTATTCCAATGATGGTGGCCAGAGTTCATCTCAATGGTATGGAAACTACCAAACACATTACTAAATAGGCCACCCAGCATTGCATTATCCTGTTAAAGTGGTAAAGTCTTTGAGATGGCTGTTTAAGCCCATTACTGTAAACTTGGTGACAAGATTGGGTTGATGTGCCATTGGTACAACTGTCATGGGCAGAGGAACACTCCAAAATAATGAGAGACTGATAAAACAGGTAAGCTAACATTCTGGAAAGTTATTTCCTAAAATGTTATAAGAATAAGATGTAATTTCTAAGTTTCATTGGCATTTCTTTAAAATTGTAAAAATAAACACCCCATAAAAATGGACTTTCACTTTGGAAAGTCGAGTAGTTTCAAATTCTTACCGGTTACTGTCAGGGTCGCCGTAGTTGCCTCCTCCCCGCACAGACAGGTGTAGTTTCCAGAATCCTTCAGGTCTAGATTAGAGATGACGAGCTCAGCACGGACGCCCTGCAGTCTCATCTTGTATTTGTCGCACGGTTTCAGGGTCTGGTGTCCTTTCTTCCACTCCACCTTTGCGTTGGCTTTGGTGAGCTGGCAGTGAAAAATGGCTTCCTGGCCCTCTGCTACTTCTTTGTTTCTCAATCCCTCTACAAATAGCGGGAGCAGTTCTGACAAAAGTGATAAAGATATATTCGGACAAATTATAATGATGCTCCTTAAAATGATCTAATGATGATGAAGTGGAGGACGCGGACAACGTGCACCGAAATGTGGCGAGCAGTAACGTCCTAGCACAGACTTATGGCTTCCAGATGAAACGACGAGTGAAACACAACAAATGTACATTCAGACACAAAAAGTGTTTGTATTGTGGAACCATTTATAAGAGTTCATAACGGGGCATCAGGGTGCTTTGGGTATCTTTCAGACCTTTTTATAATAAGATAATTAGAAGACTTTTAACATTCACATTTCATAGCAAAAATAAAAGTTTAACCCAATGCTGGCCTAAAATTACACATCTTCAAGAATAGAAACGTTTATTTCCCTGGGTTGAGGGAAGAGTAGATTGTTCAGGTTTTGAGACATGTAATGTCATGCCAGCTATATTCCTAACAGTTAACTTATTCTATATCCAAAGCAAAGATATTTCATCTGTTAAATAAACCTCTGCCAATAGACTTTTTCATATTGAATCAGTATGCAAAAATACTTCTGAGAGGACAAATGCGGGTGGTTTTAGAGTCATTATCTAGACGTTAAATGAATCAAACCTCACATAGCACAGCGTTCTTCAGAACAAAGTCCTAATGTATTCTTCTCAGAAGTATCACATATTTTAAGGTTCCACACATTTTATTTTTGCTCTACAAAGGCCACACAAAGGGTAACACTCAAGGCCATGACACTCTAAGGCAACTCAGACCATGACACTCTACGGAAACTCAGACCATGACACTCTACGGAAACTCAGACCATGACACTCTACAGCAGCTTAGACCATGACACTCTAAGGCAACTCAGACCATGACACTTAATGGCAACTCAGACCATGACACTTTATGGCAACTCAGACCATGACACTTTATGGCAACTCAGACTATAACACTCTACGGGAGCTCAGACCATGACACTCTGCAGCAGCTCAGACCATGACACTCTGCAGCAGCTCAGACCATGACACTCTAAGGCAGCTCAGACAATGGCACTCTACAGCAGCTCAGACAATGGCACTCTACGGCAGCTCAGACCATGACACTCTACGGCAGATCAGACCATGATACTCTATGGCAGCTCAGACCATGACACTCTATGGCAACTCAGACCATGACACTCTATGAAGGCTCAGACCATGACACTCTACGGCAACTCAGACCATGACACTGTAAGGCAACTCAGACCATGACATTCTACGGCAACTCAGACAATGGCACTCTAAGGCAATTCAGACCATGACACTCAGTCTAAGGCAACTCAGACAAGGGCACACTAAGGCAACTGAGACCATGACACTCTATGGCAACTCAGACTATGACACTCTACGGCAACTCAGACTATGACAATCTACGGCAACTCAGACCATGACACTGTAAGGCAACTCAGACCATGACATTCTACGGCAACTTAGACAATTGCACTCTAAGGCAATTCAGACCATGACACTCTATGGCAACTCAAACCATGACACTCTATGACAACTCAGACCATGACACTCTACAGCAACATAGTGTTGTTGAGCCTATATTCTATATTGCTTTTTGATACTGAGGGCAAGAGGAGAACGCTATGAAGGTCTAATTAAGACTGGATTTTATAAGTATCCATTAAGTTTAAAATAAAACAAGAAAGCAGTAACGACGAGTATTTTGAGAGATTGAAGTCAAACTGCATTCGTCTACGTGACCCCCAAAGAAAGATGGCGGAACAAAAACAACAGGACACAACTGGAAAAGAAAAAAAGATATGTGGAGCGAAGACCATCTAACGAACGTGTCACATGCTGGTGGCAGTTGGTTGAAGACCAAGATGTGGAATTATATGGGTAGACTACACACACATATTTACCCTGCACTGATAATGTCGCAGTGGTCTGCTGTTCTCCACACACGCCGATGTAATCTCCAGCGTCATTCAAGTCCAGATGGTGAATTGTCAGCTCCGCCACTGCTCCTTCCTGCTTCATGACGTACTTGTTACTTGCTTGGATCATAGAACTGTTCTTCTTCCACGTCACCGCGGCCCCGGCCTTACTCAGCTCACAGCGCAAGGTGACAGTTTGCCCCTCAGTTGCCAATTCATTTCTCAATTCCTCCACAAAGACAATGGGGAGAGCTACAAGGTGTGAAGAGATGAACTTAAAAGTAAACGATGGCAGTGGTCCCAGTCTATTTTTAAAATTAGTTTTTACGTTTTGTTTTTGTTTACAAATTACCATTTGAGAAAAGCTGGATCTCATGAAACTGGTGTAACGGGCAGGTCCGAATTTAACCTCCCTGCCTCCCCAAGGCTGGGTTTGGCAATGCACCACCCCCGCCCACTTTTTTATGTTTTAATTTATTTTTTTACTTTTTAAATTTTTATTTATCTTCTCATCTTTTACTTTTTCTAAAAAACTTTATCTTATTATTTTT